GCAGGGCACAGGAGCAGCACCCTAGTGCAGGAGGGTACCTGTGGTAGCATTGTGAGTGCTCTGCCGCAGTCTGACATGAGTGAGGAGAGTGAGACTGCAGGGTGAGCAGCCAGGGCTCATGCAGGCTTTAGAACAAGCATAGCACCAAGGCAGTTGCTAGAATGTGAGGATTTCTCCAGTGGTGATGGCAGGGAGAGGTGGTCATTCTGGCGAGGAGGGCATGGTGGAGGCAGAGGTAGACAAGCAGCCTGCATCTCCTGCAGAACTGAGAAAAGCAAGGAAAACAAAAGTCCCTCGTTTGGTCAACAAAAGGCTTTGATCATACATTCAGGGGTCACAGGGAGGAATGAATCATTTATTTGTCCTTTTTCCCAATTTATAGTTTGTAAGGTGTCCAGTTTGTATTTTTTTAAATGGTTGTTTTAGCACAGACTACTCAGTTCATGTGTCCCTTATAAAATCTATAGAGGTATCTAATGTCCTTTTTCTTGCCATAAGCACATTGGCCTTTGTCCAAGGGGTGCCTCTCTCTGTCTTCATTTGTCTTTGATCTTCTATTGCCTAGGCTGCTTATCTGTCTGAGTCCAGTTTCTTTTTTCTAGTCAAATTTCTTTCTTGTCTATGATCCCCCGTTTTCTCTTTCCTCTGCCTCCCGCCTTTCTCTTTCTTTCGCTTCTTGTCTCTCTCTCTTTCGCTTCACTTTCTCTGTCTCTCATTTAACACTTTCTCTGTCTCCCCAAATTCTGCAAGGTATAATCTTGCAACCTATCTACCTGCTGTAACTTTTTTCTTATATCTGATGCTGACTCTCCTCTGAAGGCCATGGATATCACAGCCTGCTGACCTTCAGAGTTTGGGTAAAATGCCTGTAAACCTCCATTAAAAATTTAAGGAACACAGATTTTAACTGGTCCCTGGAGAACCCGTTTTACCTTGGCCGAATTAGTGTGGTGTCTTGAAAGGATGTCTTTATCAAAATTTACAAAACAGAAAGCCTTTATTATTGGTAGCGCTATAATATATCATTACCATCATTGTTATTATTAATTTGTAATATGATCTCACTAGGTTGTATTGGCCATCCTGAAATTCCTGATGTAGACCAGATTGTTCCCCAAGTCCTACACTCTGGGGGTGCTGAGATTGAAGACCAGACCTCCAAGCCTTCATACAACAAAGCATGAGTAACATTGACCTCAGAATCACAGTGAAAAGTGCTCTGTTCTCTGATGGACAGCCGGAGGAGACTAAAGAAAGGAAGAAATGAGGGAAGAGAGAAAAAGGGTAAGACTGTGAAATTGTAGCTCAGTAGTAGGGAACTTGCCTAGCATGTTGGAAGTCCCTGATTCTATGTCCTGAAAAACACACAGATGAAGCTGCTCAGAGATGACTGCATGCATATGGGTGATACCACACAGAGAGGAATGCTGCCTGGAGATCAAGCAGAGGATCTCAGAGGCCCAGTGAATAGTTGGATTTATACATTCATTAGATATGTTTTATGGATCAAAAGTCAGGATTGGTTGTGCTTCTCACCTGGGAGGATGAGGTGAAAGGTATGTAGGTTCAAGGCTAGCCAGGTTGTGCAGCAAAGTCTTACAACAAAAACTAACCAATAAGGCAAATACATATACATATAGGAGACAGAGAAAATGAGAAAGATCTTTCTCCATTTTGTGCAAATGTTAAGGAAAAAAATCAAGCAAAATTCTAGGGTGGAGATAAATGTATTGAAGTCTCCCTATTTTCTTCCATCTCTTCTTACTTTGGTGCAAATTCAGGGTACAGTCCAGGGAAGAGGACTCCTGATTCCAGCCACTCAGGCTATGAAGTGCTAAGGTCCATAGGGTGTACCAAATACATTCCATTTATTTAAAAATATTATTATTCCATCTCTTATGATTTAAGAAGTGAAGTGTTTAATCCCAGTACTCAGAGGACAGAAGTAGACATATCTCTATGTTTATAAGTCAGACTGGTCTATAGTGTGAGTTCCAAGCCTGTATTAGGACACTCCCTTGCAGAAACAGAGATTGTGAACCTAGATCAAGCTTAAAAGTTTTTTTTTTTATGTCTGGTGTTTAACCATACAACTAAAGATATTCATGAGACTGGCTTAGGAGGATTGCTTATATACTGGAAGGTCATTGTAAACAATAGCTCAATGTTTCATCTAGGAATATGTCACAACTATGTTTTTACTATATGTAATAAATGTGGTATTTTAATGACCTTCTTTGACTTGTGCCTGCATTGGAAAACTTAAGCAGCAGAAACGCTGGAAGTTTGATTGGTGTGTCCATGCATACCAAATGACATCTTGTCCCCTAAACTAAAACAAACTCAATAACGCACCAAATCCAAGGTCGTGCCCTTAAATATTACCCCTTCCACAAGGAACAGATTCTGAGGCTGGAAACAGTGGTGTCCTCCTGTAAATTATATTCAGGAGGTATAGGCAATCTGCAGTGGCAGCCTGGAATACACAGGAATTTTAAGCGGGCCCTGGAAAACTATTTCATTTGAGTTGAGACTGATCTTCTTAAATTGTTTGATCTCTAAAAGTCAAACAAACAAAACTTAAGTGAAAGAAAAAAACAAAGCATAATATGAGCACAATTTTAAAAACAACAGTTGAGCAGAGACATTGTCATTAATGAGAATATGTATGTAATGAATAAGACATAGTTGTTAATAAGAGGAAGTGGCCTGAGGTTAATTGTATCAACCATCCCCATTATTCAGATTAAAGGTGTGTATCTTTATTCTTCAAACCAGACACTTTTGGCATATTAACCTACCTGCTATTCAAAGAAAAGTAAAAGTACATCCTCCTCCAATTATTTCAGAAAGTGGACACAAAGGATCATTAATAAATTTATTTTATTAGTCCAAAACTACAATGATAGCTAAATCACAGACCAAAATATTATGAACACTGATACAAAAATACTCATTATATAATTAAAATCTGAATGCTATAATATTCTATGATTTCTGCCATGAGGAACTATGCTTTGTCCCAGATATGTAGGGATGGTTCAATGTACAAAATTCAAAAAATCTAATTGACCATATGCGGATGGTTGCCTTTACTCTCCTTCATTAGAAATACATAACCCGTCTTGGCTCTTAACTTAAGAGTTGTGAAATGTGTTTTAATTCCTGGTGCATCTACATTTTTTGTGATCTGCCTAGAGAAGGCTGTTGCAGTCTCCCATCATTTTTTCTTTGGATAATGCGGCACCAAAATACCCTAAAGGATTTCCTGTCCAACAACCATAATCTTTCTGCCTTTATTGTGGAGAATCAATCCAAATTTCTGATGGTGATCTTGATCAATCAGCCCTCCTAACAGGCTGTTGTATTTCCTTCTCAGCCTGTTGTATTAAGACATCAGAAGCTCAAAATGGCTTTGGAGAAGTCTGAGCTTCCACTCAGTGGAATATTTGTTGTGACTCCAAAGAGAGACAAAGCCCCCACACCAACATTCACCCTGGAACCAAAATTGTAAGACCAGGAGAAACTAAGGTCATGGGAATGGGAAGCAAAGTTTCCCCCCAGGAGTCGCTAGGGGAGATAGTGAGAGGAGCCATTCCCTTTTCTACCTCTTAATGTCTGGACCAATGGACATGGGCTAAGGGGAAAGCTGCCTCCTGCAGAATCCTGACCCGGCACTAGAGGCTGATGGTACTTCTTTAATTTTTCCTTCTGTCTTAAAATGTTCAGTCTATCTTTCTGTCTAGACAGCTGTTTCGGAAAGTTGGTGAACACAGGAATATCAACTGAACACATCATAATGAGATACAATAAGCATAGGCACAAACTATCATATCAAGGCTGGGGGAGTCGACCACAAGGAAGAAGGTTCCAAAGATCAGACAAAGAGGTCAGAGACTCCCCACAATCCCACTCTTTAGGAGTCCCACAAAAACCCCCGAACTAAGCAACCACAGTGTGCATACAGAGGACCTAGTGTTGACCCATGCATCTGTGTGATTGCCTCTTCAGTCCCTGTGAGCCCCTATGATCCCCGTGTATGTGATTCTGTGAACCCCTTACTCCCATCAGCCACTGGAAAAAGGCTAACCGATGACAGCTGGGCTAGGCACCAGTCTCAGAGTACAGCAATTTCTTAGGTATCGTTTCATTAACATTTGTGTGTGTGTGACTGTGAGGAGCCTGCACAAACTTCCACAGCTGAGCAGGACTGGGCTTATTCTAACAGAAACACCACTGGAATCCACAAAGTGATTCTACAATTTTTATTCCTTTTCTATTGTGTTGTATTGGGGTAAAATTTTGTCTATGTAACTGACCAAGAGTCCTCTGCAAGAGGAACAATTGCTTTTGCCCACTGAGTCACCTCTCCAGTCCCCACAAACTGAGTTTGGATGAAAAATGTCTTCATTCTCTTCCCCTCCTCTCATAAGAAAACATTCACGTTTGTTTTCTCGTTTGCTCTGAGCCCTTGATCATATGTTCTACACAGTCCTATCCACACAGGTTTCTCCAAAGAAACCCTGTTGGAATGTGCTGGGGGCTTTAACTAAACTGAATCCCAGTTTCCAAATCTCTGGACAAGAATCAAACCAGTACAGCAACAGAGGAGTGGTTGCGTAGAGTCCATCAGAGTTCACCATGGTTCCTCCCCTACCCTGCCATTCTGTAGCACCAAAAATAAAAACTTAGAGATAGATATTGGGGTTCAAACCAACAACCAAGAAAGCAAAGCAGCCAAGCCACTAGAAATGTCTTTCCTGTCCTAAGGCTGGGTGACTGTAGAAGAAGCAGATTATTAAGCCTCTTGCATCCCATTTTATAATACCTCTCGTGCTGGGATTTCCTAGGTTAGGATGGAAGGTGTGAACCACCACCACCTGGACTTGTTACTGCATTGATCTTGTTTAAATTAAGGTGCCTTTAAACCCACAGAGATCCACGTAACTCTGTCTAACAAATCCTGGGATTAAAGATGTGTGTCACCATTGTCTGATCTCCAGTGGCTTTAGCTTTACTTCTGGTCTTCAGGCAAGATTTATTTTTCAAAATACAAATAATACACCACTACAATATTAAAGGCATTAATAAATGTATGAAAGCACTACTAAACCGTGATGTCTTTCCCCGGAGTTGCTGTAATTGCTCCATGTACCCCATAGTCTACCCAGGAGCCATCGGTATCAACACTGACCACTGCTCCAGGGATACACATATAGGGTACTGGTGACAGGTTACTGGGATCGCTTCAGACGTTTGAGAGGGGTTCCAATAGATTGCATTGAGCAGAAGCCAGGGATCTGTATGTTTCAGCCACCAAGTGGGGGCGTGAATCCACCATTAACTTCCAGCTTGCGGTCTGAGAGACCTCGGAAGCATGAGCTGAAATAAAATTCAGCACCTGTGTTTTCAGCTGCTCTGTGCTGTGGAGGTCAGCCAGGAAGAGAGTGTGGGCAGCATTCTCCACAGAGAGGTTCCTGCAGAGGGCACTCTCACACATGACCTTCAAACGCTCCAGGCCATACTTGTCAGCAGCTGCCAGCACAGCATTTGCAATGCTGTGGAGGACTGGTTCCTTCCCGGTGTAAATGAAGTCCATCATTGCCTTGAAGACTTCTGGTTTTAGGTCATGAATTTTAATGCGATTCGTTCTGTTCTCCTCCATGTCATGTTCAAACATGGCTCTGAAAACTGGAGAGCTAGCAGCTAAGACGGCCTTGTGAGCATGGAATTCCTGGCCAGCTACCACCAGGCAGCAGTCTGTGAATTGGGAATTCTTCCACAGCTCTCCTAGATCATCTCCTAATATGCATTTGGGAACCTGGATTCTCGGCTCTGCGCTGTCATCAGGGATAATGTAGAAGTATGGAACCAGGGTGCCCATGCAGTAGAGGGTGAAGTGGTCTTCAGGGAGAAGGCCATGAGAATGGTCCAAGAGAAAATTTCGAAGGATGAACAATTTGTAACCCCTTTGGTACCCTGGACAGAAACTAAAGTATTTCGGGATAGTCACAGGTTTGTTTTTTCACCTTCGGCGTTTATGATCCAAAATTTGATCTCTGCCTTAAAGGGACTCTTTGGAGAGCTGAGCAACTCTATGTTAACTGACAGGTAATCTGAGCTTTCTTCATCGACCCCCTTAGGTTGAACTGTCAAACATCATTTGTTATTGTCTCCTGTTGAGAATGTTGGGCTTCTAATACTGTCCTTCATTTCTTCCAGAATGAAACTGAAGTTGCGGATGGTCCACCTGCAGGAGAAATTCTGGATGTTGTGCAGTTTATATTCCCAGCTCTGGTCAATGGCGTCCTGTGACATTTCTCCTGGAGGTAGTTTGAAGGTTAAACTGGATCCAAAATGAAAAACTAGGATTTGTCTTCTCTTGCCCTGTAGGAAACAATGATATACATTTTTAGCTTCTGTTTCTCCTCTGTTCCCTCTTCTATGAGCGCGGAAACTCGAGTCTCTGAAATTATCCAGATTTCAATTCTAGTTTCAGTGTGGGTAGACTAGGCTATACGGGACTGTTGTATCACTTCATTTTTTTTTCTAGATTGAATCTTAGGTCAGTGGATTTCTAATTTTGAGAATCATACACAAATTTTGATAATTTACAACATTTTATATACTTATCCAAAATTTTGCACAGTGGTTGGGTAACAGAACATACCCAAAGACTCTCTCTGTATGAACAAAGAGATTCATTAGAATGCCTTAGGGCTGCAGTCCTGCTAATCCCACAAAGGCTACCTGTGAATGGAGGGTCCAAGTATCCAGTACTTACTCAGTCCAGGAGGTTAGATGTGCCGACTGGTCCTCAATCTATGCTGGAATTGGGATGAAGAATTCTCTAATGCCAGTGAGAAAATGGTTTTGCTGCACTGGAGGGCAAGCAGGCAATGAGCAACAGCTTCCTCCATGTTTTTTATAGGATCCTAGGAGGCAGAAGGCGTGGCCCAGTACGAGGTGTTTCCTCCGGACTCTAGATATGGATTAAAGGTGTGTCCTTCAGGTCTTGAGATAAATGTTTCTGTTTTTCTGCCTCCAAAGTGTGTCTGTGAAGTGCTGTACCTACTTCAACTTAAGCAGAAACATTTCTCACAGTCGCGCCCTCTGTCTTAGGATTATAGTTAATTCCAGGTATAGTCAGGTTCTTTACTTAGAGTTGTGAAATATGTTTTCATTCCTGGTGCATCTACATTTTTTGTCATCTGCCTCGAGAAGGCTGTTGTAGTCTCCCATCATCTTTAATCTTTGGACAATGTGGCGCCAAGATACCCTACAGGATTTCCTACCCAACAACCATAATCTTTCTTGCCTTTATTGTGGAGACTCAATCCAAATTTCTTATGGTGATCATGATCCATCGGCCCTCCTAACACTGTTATTTCCTTCTCAGCCTGTTGTATTAAGGACATCAGAAGCTGTGACACCCTATGATCCCCGTTTATCTGATTCTGTGAACCCTTTACTCCCATCAGCTGCTGGAGAAAGCCTAACTGATGACAGCTGGGCTAGGCACCAGTCTCTGAGCACAGCAATTTCATTAGGTCTCATTTCATTAGCATTTGTGTGTGTGACTGTGAGGACCCTGCACAAACTTCTGCAGCTGAACAGGGATGGATGGACTAAACTGGGCCTCTTCTAACAGAAACACCACTGGAATCCAAAGAGATTCTACAACTTTTTTCTTTTTACATTTTATTTGGGTAAAATTTTGTCTACATAACTGAACAAGAGTGCTCTGCAAAAGGAACGATTGCTTTTGACCATTGAGTCATCTCTCCTGTCTCCAAAAACTGAGTTTGGAGGAAAAGTGTCTTCATTCTCTTCCCCTTCTCTTGTAAGAACACATTCACGTTTGTTTTCTCCTTTGCTCTGAGCCCTTGATCGTATGTTCTGCACAGTCCTCCTATCCAGACAGATTTTTCCAAAGAAACCCTGTTGGAATGTGCTGGGGGCTTTAACTAAACTGAATCCCAGTTTCCAAATTTCTGGACAAAAATAAAACCTGTACAGCAACAGAGGAGTGGTTGCGTAGAGTCCATCAGAATTCATCACGGTTCCTCCCCTACCCTGCCATTCTGTAGCACCAAAAATAAAAACCTAGAGATAGATATTGGGGTTCAAACCAACAACCAGAAAAGCAAAGCAGCCAAGTCGCTAGAGACGTTTTTCCTCTATCATGGCTGGATGACCATGGACTAAGCAGACTAAGCCTCTCTCTCTTCCCATTTTACATTACCTCTAGTGCTGGGATTCTCTAGAACAGGGATTGAAGGTGTGAGCCACCACCACCTGGACTAGTCCTACATTGATCGTGTGTAGCCCAGAGTAGCCTTGACTCACAGAGATCCTTCTGGCTCTCCCTCCCAAATTCTGTGATTAAAGGTGTGACTCACCATTGTCTGACCTCTAGTGGCTTTAGCTTTGTCTCTCGTCTTCAGTCGAGATTTATTTGTCAAAATACAAATTTTGATATATACTGCTATACCATTCGACACATAAACAGTATTAAAGCTTGTCTCAGCACATTCAGTGTGAATGCTCCACATACCTCATAGTCTACCTGGTAGCAGCATTGGTAGCAGCACTGGCTGCTGCCTCTGGGATACACATGTAGCTCATAGTTGATAGGGTTCTAGGTTTGCTTCAGGCCTTTGAGGGGAGACTCCAGTAAAGAACGTTGAGGAGAAGCAAGGGTGCTGTATGCTTCAGCCTCCAAGTAGGGGTATAAATCCACCATTGTCTTCCAACTTGAGGTCTCAGAGACCTCAGAAGCATGAGCTGTAATGAAATCCAGGGCCTGAGTTTTCAATTGCTGTGTGCTATGGAGGTCGGCCAGGAAGAGAGTGTGGGCAGCATTCTCCACAGAGAGGTTCCTGCAGAGGGCCCTCTCACACAGGATCTTCAAACCCTCCAGGCCGTACATATCAGCAGCTGCCAGCACAGTATCTGCCATGCTGTCTAGGTCTGGTTCCTTCCCGGTGTAAATGAAGCCCATCATTGCCTTGAAGACTTCAGGTTCCAGGTCATGAATCTCAACACAGTTGTTTCTTCTTTCCTCCATGTCATGTTCAAACATGGCTCTGAAAACTGGAGAGCGAGCAGCTAAGATGGCCTTGTGAGCCAGGAATTCCTGGCCAGCTACAAACAGGCAGCAGTCTGTGAAGTGGGAATTCTCCCAGAGATCTCCTAGCTCATCTGCCAACATGCACCTTGAAGCCTGAATCTCTGGGTTTGTGCTTTCCTCGGAGATGTTGTGGGAGTCTGGATACAGGAGTCCTCTGCAGAAGAGGGTGAGTTTGTCTTCAGGGAGAAGCCAATACTCATGGTCCAAGAGAAAATCTCTAAGGATGAACATTTTGTAACCCCCTTCAATGCCTGGCAGGAACCTAAAGGATTTTGGACTTGTGACAGTTTCTGTTTTTTCTCCTTTGACATTGATGATCCAGAGCTGAAACTGTGCAATAATGTCACTCTTTGGAGAGCTGAGCAGCTTTAGGTTAACTGACAGGTAATCTGAGCTTTCTTCATCGACCCCGTTCGGATGAACTCTCAAACACCAGTTGTCATTGTCTCCTGTTGAGAAACTTGGACTTATAATGCTGCCCTGCTCTTCCTCTAAAATAAAATGGAAGTTGTCTATGGTCCACTGGCAGTAGAAATTTGAGACACTGAATAGTTTGTAGTCCCAGCTCTGGGCTATGATGTTTTTTGACATTTATCCTGGAGATAGTTTGGAGGCTAAATTGGAAGCAAATGAAGAATTAGGATTTGTTTTCTCTTCACCATGTGGGAGACAACAATAGACAGTATTTAGACTTTTAGTGTCTGTTTCTCTCCTGTTTACTTTTATATGGGTTGGGACCTTGAGTCTCTGAAGTCATCCAGAGACTACACTAGCTTCAGTGTAGCTAGTTTAGATTACCAGGGGCTGCTCTGTCAGTTCATGTTTTCTAGATAGAATCTCAAGTCAATAGATAGCTAATATTTAGTTGAAAATTTGGAACATTTCATACACTCATATCAAAAATGTTGTGCTAAAGTTCTCCGGAGTAACAGAACATAGAGAACGACTTTCTCTTTGTCCGAACAAAGGAGATTCATTAGAATGATTTAGGGCTGCAGTCCTGCTAATCCCACATTGGCTAACTGTGAAGAGAGAGTCCAAGGATCCAGTACTTACTCAGTCCAGGAGGTTATACAGTCGGCACGACTGGTCCTCAGTCTATGCTGGAATTCTCTAATGCCAGTGAAGGTATGGACTTGCTGCCAGGTGAGGGCAAACAAGCAAAAAGTAATAGCTTCCTTCTTCCATGTTCTTTTATATGCTTCCAGCAGAAGGTGTGGTCCAGTTTAAGGAGTGTTTCCACCTTCTAGATCTGGATTAAAGGTGTATGTTTTCAAGTCTTGGGAAGTAGATTAGATGTTAGTGTCTTTCTGCCTCTGAAATCTGCACTAATAGTTAATCTGCGGGCAAGTCCTCATACCAGAAAAAGCCACTGTTCATTGCACGAATACAAAACTGAGAGAAACACATAGAAAGACATACAGACAAACACACTCAAATGCAAACACTCACACAGAGACTAAATAGTCAGAGAGCGTGAGAGAGAGGCAGAGAGACAGAGAGAGATGAGAAAGAGAAAGAGAGAAAAATGAGATACAGCTTGAACATGGATCTAAACCAATGGAAACTACATGAGTGTGTTTGGGATTACAGTACAGTAACTAGACTTTCTCAGAGTCAGCTTTAATGCACAAAAACCAGATTCTGGGTCAACACACTTCAGCTAACAATAACAGTGAGCCAGAACTGGCAGCACAGAATCGATGTTACTGTGTGCTTTGAGAATGGTTTAACATTTAGAGATATTCCCTGAGCTATGGACTTTGGTAGATTAGGCCTCTGACTTAGTTGTGGTAGGCATTTCTGTTTTTTAGAACAAGTGCTGGGTTTTACACTTTCCACGGTGCTTCCCTTAAAGGGACAGTTGTGCTTATGTATGGTGGTCTGCTAATGTTTGATCTTGTTACACAGGTGGGTGAGTGGGGTTCCCCTCTGTATGCTGTGAATGTCTTTTATTACCATTGGTTAACAAAGAAGCTGCTGTGGCCTATGGTAGAACAGAATATAGGTAGGTGGGAAAACTATACTGAATGCAGGGACAAGGAAGGCTATATAGGGACAAAGGGACAAAGATAGATGCTATATAGCTACTGAAGGAGAAAGACTCCAGAACATTACCGGTAATCCACAGCATCATGAC